GGCGCTGCGCCTCTGCCCGCTGCCCCCTCCCGAGAGCGGACAGGGAGCAATGGGATGCGTCTGTCTTTGCAGTGCGCCTCCGAAATCCCCGAGGCCCGCGCCGTGCTCGAGATCCTGGAGAGGTGTCCCCAGCAGCCGAGGAAGGGGCATTTCCCCGTCATCGTCGTGGAGGGGCTGGATGCCACAGGTAAGCGGCACGGTGCGAGGAGCAGCGGATCAAACGCTGGGATGAACCGTTGTGCAGTCATCCCGCTGCACGCAAGGCTTCGGAATTAAAACAAAAACTGAAATCCTGTGACATACTTGGATGAATCATAAATACCAGTCTGTTTTCTCTTATTTGAACACATCAACCTATGCTACTTTTTCACTCAACGGATGAATGCTTTATCTATGTAAAAAAAATATATATATGCCAAAAGTGGAGTAATGGCATTTAAACTGCTTGTGGAGATCAGGAATGCAGAGTTTTCACGTGCAGCTTTCAGATGAGTGAAGTAAAAGAGTGGTTTGAGAAACCAGTGGCAGTTTTTCATTAAAAAAATGGTGCTTTCTGAATAACTTTGCTTTCTGTGTTTTCAGTCAAAAGGGACTGAAAATCCACTGCACAAAGAGAGCAGTGCATAAACAGTATGATGCCAAAAATCAATGTGTGGCAACATCTATGTAGACTGCCAGCTAGAAAAATACTGGAAAGGTTATGTAGAGAAATTGGCTTGTGAAATGCCTTTAAAGGAGGGAGGATGGACAGCTGGCAAGAGGGAGGAGAGAAGGGCTCAGTGCCGGAAGGGGAGTAGTAATTCCTTTGATCAGCCTCATAACCCTTTTCTGCTGAAAAAACCCTTATCACAGCAGTCTCCAGTTACACAGTTAGGTGTCAGAACATGTGCTCCAAAGGAAAAGATAAGGACATTTTTCAGCTTTTAAAAGTCAGTTGTATCTGTTACGCAAGATGACAAATGTTTCCTTTTGTAAATGAAATGCAGGCAAAACCACGGTAACCGAGTCTGTTAAGGACGCCCTGAATGCCGTTCTGTTAAGGTCGCCGCCACCTTGCATCAGCCAGTGGAGAATGATATTTGATAACAAACCAGCACTCATTAGAAGGACATTTTATGCTGCAGGAAACTATATTCTTGCTTCAGAAATAGCGAAAGCATCCATGCAGTCACCCGTGATTGTGGACAGGTTTGTACATTTAAGAAATCCTCTTCTAACAGTGCCATCACACGATCACTTAGTGTTGCAGGAAAACCTGCCAGTGACACCCTCTGGGATTCTTCTCTTTGGGAGCGCTGCTGTGCAGGTAGGCTGATAATATAAGTCTTCTGAAACCTAATACCTACGGTGAGACTCAAGTGTGGGTTTTCTGTCCCCATACTGGGGACCCATAACTGGGTTTAGCGCATGTGCAAACCCGGAGCAGTGGAGACGGCTGAGCGTGGTAGCCTCCAAGAGGGCTTTGAGATATGGCCGCGTCAGAGTGACCGAATTTTAGGTCAACTTACTCTTTCAGGCTGTAAAGACACAAGTCTGCTTCTCGCTTTGTACCCGGAGCCACTTATTTGTTCAAAAGTATGATTATTACAATCTATGTCCATGACTTACCTACTAACATTACTATAATTTCTTATTCTTCTACTTCTGACTCTTACCATTTTTCATTTGACACGTCTTTCATAAATCATCCTGTGTAACAATTTATTTTCTATATTGTTTTATTTTTTTTCTGCTTCAATTTTTCCCCCACTTTCATTACATGTGAAAGATGAGACTTACCCAAGAGCAGATAGCCTTCATTTTCAAAGCAATCTTTTTCTCATGTTAGCCAATCTGATAGTCTCGGTACAGAAGTAGGTGGTACTAAGCAAATTAGAAAAAAAAAATATTTAAATGGATCTGAAGCCTTTTGATGTTGGACTCCCGCAGTATACCTGAATGAAAAGCTCTTTTTGGACTTACTAAGTCCAAATATTTGAATTCAGTGGGAGTCGTTGTGACTTAGACTTCTGCTGTTGGTTTTATTTGTGTCTTTTCTTGTTACATATGCAGCTTGCAGTATGATTCTTAATAAAAAAAGTCTAGGTGTAGGTTGAAACTCTTCACTTGCTGCAGTAGATATACTATAACCTGTTCCCTACAGAACACAGAAGTTGTTTATAGGTATGTGGGTGCTATTTTTAATCATCATCAAACTCACTAAATACATAAAATACAGTGCCTCATTCTGGTTGCAATGACAAACACAGGGGAAACACAATTAATTTGTGCAAATTAAATTGTGTGAAAACCAGAAAAGATAAAAGTTCTATCTTTTATAATTGAAAACTATATATTCTCTACCTGCTGCAAAAAAAATGGCATGATTTGAACTACACGAGAAGAAGAACTTGATGTTTAGATTTGGACATATCATGAAACTCATTCTCAGTTTGATCTCATTACATGAGAAGTTGTTCTTTGACAGCAGTATTTGGAGCACAGTTTGCCTAATATATAGCTTCTGGCATATGTTTAAATTAATAATTCACAGTAAATCTAAATATTTTATTGAGCATTATTGCTATTTTAAGAAATGATTGATTGCATGGGATCATTCTGTACTATTCCCTTCCAAATACCATCGTTTTTGCACTTACAGTCGTACTGAGACCCGCCTTCTGTATTGCTGAAGTATTAGCGTCCTTTTGAAAGCTTCTCTCTACATTTTGTATTTTCCTGCTAGATACTGGCACAGCACAGCTGCCTATGCAATCGCCACTGAAATAAATGGGAAAGTTGAGGATCTTCCACCATCTCACCACGAGGTGTACCAGTGGCCTGAGGATCTGCTTAAGCCTGATCTTGTCCTCCTCCTTACTCTGAGCCCTGAAGAGAGGATCCGGCGGCTGCACGGCCGAGGGCTGGAGAAAACAAAGGAGGAAGCTGAGCTGGAGACTAACAATTTGTTTCGCCAAAAGTACGCTTTGATGAGGGAAAAGAGCATGGGGGCAATCTCAACTCCTTTGGACTCAGGATCAAAATGTCCTTCTGCTCACATTATTGAGAACGGTTTTCCAGATGTTTAAACTTTGGGGATTTTTTGGACAAGGAGAGTAAATTCAATTATTTCTCATTGAAAGTCCCTGAAAGATGCAGGTGGAGAATTTTATTCTCTTGCAGAAGAGTTCAGAACCAAAATTTTGTCTTTGGCCTTGCTACTTCTCCTCCTCAGATTCTTTTTTGGTGTCCACGTGACATGCTTGGCATTATGTGACACCTGATGAGTCATGAATATCACATGGGTGTTTTGTGTGTATGTTTACATGTGAGATGGTTATATGAGATGTCTGCACGAGGCTGGCAGATATGACATAACCTGTGGACCCTTTCTGGACTAGCAGCTAGAAGCTGAAAGAGATACTTTCAGTATCTCAGGCATTACTAGGTACAGGCAACTGCTAGGTATCATAGGTGAATTGCTCTCTGGGCTCCCATGAGTGCATTGATTAGATCATCAGTGTCTCCAGTGGAAGCTGAGACACCCAATGCACATGCAGACATTTCCATGCAGTTGCTTGAATATAGCTACCTGCATCCGCCAACTCCAAAGCTGAAATTTACCTCTAGGGTTTAATATTTCTGGAGATGACATACCTTAAGAATATCTGTTGCTTAATTTGACATAAGCCCTGTGCAGACACAGGTACACGCAGCTGAACATGCAGAAGGACAGGTGAACTAAGAGAACATGATGCCATTTAAGAATCTTTTTTTTTTTTTTAATTCTGCTACTTCTCATTGCCTTTACAAAAAACTTCCATTATTTCTGTTTTTTTAATTATGCCAACCTGGATATGAGCACATTCAGAGTCTCTCTCAACTGCTTTTATGGCATGGGACCTGAATATTTGACGTTATTAATTCTTGGAGGAACAGAGAAAATGCTATTCATTCTCATTCATATCCCCAGAGGCTAACTATGGGAGAGCTTTTGTTGTGAGAACTTCCTACTCTAAGCAAGGCGGTTTTCATATTATTTTCAATTTCAGCAGCTGTTTGTAAGTGAAGAATTAACAGGTGGTAAAGGCAGGGTTAGCCAATTTGATTGCAGGAAAGGGTTGAATGATTAGGTTATGGTAAGGTTAAGTGAAAGGGTTCACTGCACTTTCTTGCAGTTCTCCAGTGACTTCAAGCTTAGATCAGTGAGCGGAGCTATGCAACAACATGTCATGTAATGCACAGACTCCATATCTGGCTCAGAGTAAATGCAGCTCAGGCATTATAAGGAGGCTGTCCAGTGTGCTGCTAAACCATACTATTTTCCATGCCCAAGGTATTGAGAAAAAATAACTTAAATATCATGACACAAGAATATTGATAGGACTCTATAAATCAGTGTCATAGAAAGAACCTCTTTGAGGGTCTTATCACAAGAGTTATTAATGACTTGTTGCTCTTTGCAGTACATGTCATTCTTAGTTTGCTAGTGCATTTTTCTATGTGAATACTTTCCCCTGAGATGATAAATAATTATGTCAGTTCATATCCCTGCAATCTGTGGTTTCATTTCTCTTGTTTTGTTTTTAAATAGAGTTGAAGAGTCATACAGAAGGATGGTGAATCCTGCATGCCAAGAGGTTGATGCCAGCCCCTCCAAAGAAGAAGTTCTCAAGACCGTGTTACAACTAATTAAAAAACACTGTGGTCTGTGAAAACAACTACTGTGTAACAGCACTTAAAGATACTTTTTATTGTCCTATGTTTCTGCTACCTGAAAACACACTGCGATGTGTGTCCTCCTACGGATGAGTCTTTTATTTCTTCTGTCTACAGTAAGCCTGCTAGGTTATCTGTTTCGCTGTTGTCTAGTATACTTTTGTGTATAGGACAAAATACAGTTCCTGTGTTCTTTGTCATTCCTAGCAAAGCCACTAACATACCCCAGTGTTGTATCAGGTACACAAGGGCAGCGGTGACATTTCAGGATGCATCATCACATTGAATCATCTCAAGAAAACCTACTCATGTTCGTTAGGTGTTCCAAAATTCGGTAGGTTATAGCAGAAATATTAAGTGTAGAAGGAGATGCTGGAATTTAATCCGGCAGAAAGCCAATAAAATCATAACATTTAGGAACAAAGAACCTGATGGCCAAGTATTTGCTGGAGTAGAGGATGAGCAGCCAGTTCTGTGATAAGCATCCTCCAAAAATGTGTAGTACGTAAGGCCCAGTAAGCATTCAGGCCTTTAAGTTCATGGAGAAGCTTGTTGATGTAAATATCAATTAACTTCAGAGGAAACCAGGATAATGCTATCACATTAGAAAGAGAGATTGGAAAGAAACCTGAAATTAAAAATATTTGGTTAATAATTTCTGAAATATTTTCCTGCACAGTTTTTTTCTATCCTATTAAGAAGCTTGTTAATGTGTGTTAATTTCTTGCTTTGAGAGAATGTGAAATGAAAAAACATCGAAAATTTGAACAATGAAAATGGTTGTACTTTTGCTTTCTTATTTTCTTTTGTTAGTTTGTGTTCCCCACATGCTGAGAGAGCAGGAACTATCAAGACTTCCGTTCTGCAACTGCTTATTTTTATGCATCTCTGCTTCATTATCATTATTCTTAAGTATAAAACAAAACATATGTGTAAGTGTTTGTGGGTTTAGACATGAACAGCAGTTCAAGAAAGAACGTAAATAAAATATCATTTTATTTAAAACACTGCTTATGCTTTCCTCACTTAAGTATCTATCCTGCCAATAAAAGTGTACTCAAAATTATAGTCCCTGTATCCCTGCAATCTGTATATGCAAGGGGGGAACGTAGCAGCAAGAAAAAGCTTTCAAAAGTCATATTGTTCATCTAAAAATGTTTCATTAATGTATCAATTAATGTGTTTTGAGTATATGTAATAAATTTGTACTTTCTGTTAAAAGGTGCTGTTGTATTTGGCTTATTATCTGCACAGCACTAGCACTGGGATTCACAGCACACATGGGGTGAGTGAAAGTACTTAGCTGTAGGTGATCTGCTTCATGTTTCTGCCACATTTTTGTTCACGGTGTATAAAAAGACTTTACTAATATATCTTTTGCTTTACCAGTGCAGTGTAGCACTGGTAACAAAGATGTGTAACAAATTAAGAGGTTTATTCTGGCTACTGAGAAGCAGCCACACGTAGAGAAGCAGCAGCATGAACACCCAGAAATTTAATTGAATTCCACCTGCTTAATGTGCCTTGTGCGATAAGTCATTTTACTGGAAGTTTGATGGCCACAAGAGGTCAGGATTTTGGTCTCATTGCCGAAAATGCTGAGGCTTCAAGTAATTCCATGTGAATGCAGGAATTTAGGGTGTTTCTTAGAACTAAGAGAGGCATTTTCCAGCAGCTTTGGGATGGGAGCACTCATTTAAGTAGGGAAGAGGGAGCATGAACAGGTCGGGGCTCCGCAGGGAGATCCCACAGTGGCAACAGGAGCGCTCCTGTTTTTCCCACTTCCTGCTGCCAAATTATGTCTGAGACCAGAAGTCAACTGGCACAGTGAAGGCTGCTCATTGTCAGTTGTCCTCAAGGCATAGGTCACTCCAGGGCATGTTTAATTTATTACCATTCTGGTAAATTTAGTAATTAGCTATTCTTCTAATTATTTGCACAGATTTGGCTTTAGGATTCAATCTGCAAAGATCCTGATAGTCCTGAGAGCATTTGGGAGTCCCAGACCAGAAAAGCAACATATGCATAAATTTGAATTTAAGCTTCTCAGTAGATCTATTAAAACCAGTGAATCCAACCTTTTTTCCATCCTTTTATATCAGGGAATTTTACAGAACAATTTATTTTACCGTATAGAACTCACCATAATCTTACTTGCTTTTCCCCGCACTTCTTCCCCGCCCTGACAGTCCAGGAAACCATAGCTACTTATATAAAATGGTATTAGTTGCCCAAACATAGGCATCCTGGGCCAATTTAGTCCTCTCTAAGGATTTTAGCACCTCCCTGCGGTATCCGAGATGTCCACATAGGGCTGCCAGAGCAGACGAGACATTTGGGTGACCTGCTCATCCACGCAGTGGCAGCTGGTGGCCTGTGGGGATACCATATGGTGCCTAAAACGGCGCTAGTTGCCCATTTAAGCAGTGAGAGACATAGAAAAACAAATATGCAGCCTGTTTGGGCTCTGCCGATGTTAGCAGATGGTGTGGAACAAGTAGGGCAGATCTGTGATGCAGAAGAGCCGGTGCCGAGGACCCAGTATGTGTCCTGTGTGCATTTCAGTGATTTATTTTAGACTAATCTGGTCGCATGGACAGTCTCACGGCAGCAGCTGTGGTGCACTGAGCGTGCTCCTAGGCTGTATCTTTTGGTTTAGTTTCATCTGGACAGAGTCCAGTTCACGCACCCCAGGACTGCTCCATGAGGCAAAACAGAATATGGAAAAGCAGGCTGATCTCAGAAAAAGACTTCAAGGAGCACATCTCTGATCTGAACTGAGATGCTAATGTGGATGCAGCTCTAGTCTTTGCATGTTGTAAATGGACTGGAAAGGCTTGCTTGGAACCAAAACAGATTTTGGTTCTTTAATCCATTATACTAACGGGACAGGAAGAGTTTGAAGAAATAAATCAAGGCTTTATCAAGTCGGGGCAGGTGAAGCAGGGCTTGGGGTCCCGTGTCCCCTGTCCTCCAGATTAAAGACTAATCTGGAACACACCACAGCTCCTTTCGGATTGAGACCCCAAGCTTTATTCAGGAGAAGGCCATGGAGATGGGATAGGGGGAAGAGCAGATCGTGGTGCTCACTGCGACCCAGAGAGACAGGGAGAAGCCCATTTGCTCACCCTGCCCTGTGATCAATAAGTGCTGCTGTCAAGAGGCATCTAAACCACTATCCTAAGTAAATATCAAGCAATTTACATACAAATACATGTTTCATAAAGTAGGAGTCACTGTGTTGAATTCCTAAAACCAGTATGTAGCATTTGGGTAAACAGTGATTCATTAGTTTTGTGGGGTATTTTTTTTTTTGCTGGTCCATGTTTTACAAAGTCCCTCCACAATATTAGCAGCTTCTTGAGATTTGCCACAAAACTTGCATGCTGCATCTACTATCAATGCCTGACAGTTTTGGAGGCAGGAGAATCAGGACACTCCATGGGGCTTAGATGGAAGGAAAAATGTCTTTGTTCAAGCCCATAGCAAACAAAGGGCTCCAAAGACTTTTCTATTTTTTAAAGGAATGAATAATTGGTAGTTGTCTGTTAAAATTCATTAGCTTTTTCAGTCTCAGTTCCCCTAGTTTCTTAATTTGAATATTCCAAGAAATGCATAAGACTGAATTGTTGCTGCAGGGGGCTGTGCTGACTTTGATCTTTTAAATTGAAAACTATGTTCAATAAAATTAAATCAGTTCTTTTATAAAGACAAAGATCATCACCCTCTGGTTTAATTCAGCTAAACAGACATAGGGTTTATGTAAATATGCAGGCATTGTAATGTGAAACAAAAGCTAGAATACCCTGTCAATAGTGTAAAAATGCATTTTGTGTTACCAGCTGGTCAGTCATGAACTTTTTTTCAGCCATTTAGACAGTGCATGTCATGTACTCTAAAGCCAGTGAAATATGATGGAAAATGTCCCTGTATCTGCAAACTCATTACTTACGAAGAGTGAGCCAGATAATACCCCAGTTTAAGCACCGGGCAGGTATAAAATGAACTCCAGTGGGGTAATCTACTCTTTCTGTTGTCATCCATCTCCCTGGGGCCCGCTGTACAGGTGAAAGGTTAATGCAATCTGCATATTTACTTCAGCTTTGAGTTTTTTTTCTTTCATTAAATATTATGTGATGAAGTGTGCAGGTCTTTCTTTGAAACCAGATAGAACTACAGAACCAAGACCAGATCCCACAGCTGCAAGTCTTCTGGGCCAGGTATTCTGTCAGTGACACTAATAAACTTTAAAAGGTCTTCTTTGGCTCTGGTGACTCTACCAACCAGGCTTACATTCAATGGGAAAAGTAGGATGCACCATGCTGCAGATGGGAATCTCTGGACGTACCGTGCTCATGGTCTCAGTGTTTGCTGCAAGGATTTCTCAGTATATTGGCACACTGTGTTGCTACTGCACCTGCAGTTTGTCTGTCTGCATCCCGCTGCATGTATCCCTCACTCCCAGAACGTGTGCAAGCTTTTAAGGTGAATGCTCCCAGCCAAGAAATATCCCAGTGGTTGACGGTAACTCCCAGTCCATAGGGCTGGCAGGAGACCCAGCAGGGACTTCTAACATCCCTGAACACCCATCTCTCCCTCCCCTCCATCCCGGAGGGAAAACAAACAAACAAACAAAAAAACAGTGCAAACAATTTGTTTTTTAGTTTTCATTTCAAAATGGGATGCGTAGATTATCTGTTAAATTGGGGGAAAAAATGTCTCCTAGCTAATATTTTTTTCATGCTTTCTTAGACTGCTGCAATATTTTTGAGAGAGCTGATCTCATAGCTGTGTCTGTTCTCATAAGACCAGCATAGATGCTCTTGGCAATGTAGTTAATCTATTATTTTTGTGTATTACATATTTGTATTGCCCTAACACTCTTGTGTTTTGCTCCGCTTTTGTATTTTCCATGTGAGATTTGTGTGGTAAGTGGAAAACGGGCTATTTCAGTGAAGCAAAAGTACTTAGAGTTAGCTTTTATTTATCAGTTCTCAGCTTCTGAACTACTGTTGTGTTTAACAATGGAATTTGGGATCAGAGATCTTTAAACTGTGTCTCACTTGGCTTCACC